AATTGACATTGACATTCAATTGATATTTTGGTAAAACTTCAATGACCTCAAAATAAATTAGAAAATTCAGACAACAAAATTCCCTATAGCTGCCGTGGCAACTTGGTTGCGAGTTTTAAGATCATGGGACCAAGGGAAAAGAAGATGTAGATATCATCCAGCTGGAATTCACACATGTGGGCCTGCCACTATCGAACTCGACCACTCCATTCTGGCCACGTGGAATGCTTCCCCATTATCGCAATAACCACAAGTGTTGAAAGACAGCAACTTTTGAGGCTGTAGTGTGTGCTGCTGCCTGCAAATTGTTAAATTGTAAGTGAATGTCATATTTTGATTGACAAAAGCGCAAAAAAATAAAAAAAAAATAAAAAAAAAATAAAAAAGAAAGAAAGAAAGAAAGAAAGGGGTTTTCTCAGTTGGGGTTTTGCTTTTATTTCCGAGGTTCTCTCTTTTTCTCTCTCCATCTACATCTATATATGTGCACACAGAAAACAAGCAATTCAAATGTTCTTGAATCTTGATGCAGTTACTTGTTAATAGTTTATTAGTATTTTCTGTAAGTGGATTGGATTTTGCAGCGGGTGGAGGTGGGGCTTTTGGGTAGTATGTAATCATTTGTGTTTCCTTTTTCTGATTAGAAAATAGATTAGTAAGATTTCTGTTTAGTTTAACTATTTTCAAATTATTAGAGATCTTCTACTGTCCCTGAAAAATTATAATCTACTTTTTGTTGAATATAAGCATTTTTGGCTTTTTCAGTAGGCTGAATTGGATTCATGGATAGTCCAATTCCTGGTTGGAGTCTCCCTGTGCCTGATCTGAGAAAGTCCCCCGGGTAAGAACGTGGAGATTTATCTAATATTGCGTATCAAATATGTTACGATCTACTAGCTAGTCGAGTTTTATCTGGACTTGGAAAATATTTTGTTGGCTAACGATATAGGGTGGATCATGGGCTAGTTGAGCTGTTATGGGAAAACGGGCAGGTGGTATTGAACAGCCAGACGCATCGAAAACCGGGCTATGGCTCGGACGAGTCACTGCAACCGCGTAAACATGGAGAATCAACAATTAGAAGCAATGGAAATTCAACTAATTTGATTGAAGTTGATGAAACAGATTCATGGATTCATTGCCCTATCGATGAGTCCTTTGAAAAAGAGCTCTTATGGAACAATTTTTCGAGTCCAAATCCATTGCCACCTCCAAGATTCGAAAGCGGTCATCAATCGTCCCTCCAGAATCAGAACTCTGGACAAAATATGGGTCGATTTGGAGGACAGGGAGAGCATTCGATTATGACGGTGGGATCGAGTCACTGTGGCAGCAATCAAGTCGTCAATGAATTGCGTATGAGCCGTGCAGCTGCGGCCAAGAATTACGGCGGAAAACTTAGTGAGAGCTTAGAAAGAGAGACACTTGAAACAGTTATAACAACATCTTCAGGTAGTAGCTTTGGGAAAACAACATGTAATCAGTTTACTGATCGCAACAATTCCCACAAAAGAAAAATCAGAGATGGTGAAGATACAGAATGCCAAAGTGAGGTATTCACTGTGGAACCTAATTTTATTGTACAGTTACTTCTCGACCGTTGATATGTGAAAGATATTTTAGGAGGTCGATTTTAGATGCGCTACAAAACTTTCACAATTCTTCTTAGTCATAGTGACAACGCGTTCTCACATTGAGTCTAAACCACAATAAATACGTGTCCGTACTTTTATCTTGAACAATCATTAGTTTCTATCCCCTTTACTATTTGCGGAGAATTACATCTAATAAATATATTCCAAGATTGAATTTGATATTCGAATACACATTGATTGGATTTGATCCATCCCTTCAATTGCGTTTCAACATTCATATTTTTTCGAGAAGGAATTATGGCATAATCCATGAAATAATGTGATTCTGTACAATGTTCTATGTCAGCTGTCGATTTACTACAA